ACCGAAATGCAGTTCTGCTCCCATAGCTGCATGACAAACAGTTTGGTCATAAACTGCATATGCACTTACAGGTAATGATATCGAGCTGATAGCTCTCTGCAGATGCATACTTTTCATTTGATCAAAATGTACTTTGGGGGTGATAGGCTCACGTCTGGAAGCATATATGTTCCTGCCCTTAGGCTGGAGGAAAATTCATTATGCTTTGGCAATGTTTGTATTGCATCAAACATCCAGATCTGGTCATCTGAAAAAATTTTCCAAGCGACATCTCAAGGTGATCTGACTACTGATGAGATATTAATGAGGAAGAGACCCCAATGACACAGAAGACCAGTGAGTAGAGCGTGTAGGGGAAGAGCAGGAACAAATGACATGACAAAGGCAACCAGAAAAGATTTGGTATGTTGTAATAAAAGTTGAAAATAACCAAAGGAGATAGGAGAACCTACAGCACAGGTGGGAGAAGGTAGAACTTAAAGAGAAGAGCAGTGGAGACCACAGAAATGACCACAGTCCATTTTTATTTCAACCACTTATAGAAAGGTGATGAGTCGCCTCTCCCAGAGCTCTTTGATTTATAAGTGAGGTGAGTTTCCTGCTATGGAAATTAGATCCAGGAGAACCGCCAAAGAGGGCGGAGGAGTGGGCACAGGCATCTTTGTAAACCCCTCAAGAGGGAAGAGGGGGAGGATTTGACTGGCGGGGGGAGGAGGAACATACTGGGGACACAGAAGCCAGGCGAGCGAGTTATGTTAGTCCTCAGAAAGGTGAAAAATATGAAGATGGTGTCAGAATTTGTGATATGGAAGGGATGCAGGTAAATTAAGCGTTCTGAATTTTACATTTATTTTTATGGATGCTGAGTGCAGAAATTTCACTCCTGAAACTATACTACTCTAGTAGGTCAGTGGAAGGTCATGTGTCTGATAAGTTACAGAGCTATGTTAATTTGTTCCACATTGGGCCTCAATCCTGCAATTAGGTGAGACAGAATTTTATGGGAACTTTACTGAAGTGAAGCTCTGATATTCAGGTCAGGTCATTTGCGTGCTCTTTCTGGACCTGACCAGCAGTCCTGTCTGAGAGCCTGGGAACCATTTGGTAGCAAGATGTTGTTGAAATGTGTATTAATTCTTTTAAAAGGTTTTGTTTTTCTAAAAAGATTTTTTTTAATGAAAGCCTTCCCACTTGAAAATGTGCTGATACGTTGTCACTGAAAGCAAAGCCCATCAAAAGAGTGAAGCACTTCTAACCAGAATGTAACGTGCAGAACTATATATATTTATGTGCCTATCTGTTGTTGGTCCTGCTGGGGAAAAGGACAGGTTACTTAAAGGCAACAGACCTTCTTTCTTAGTTGAAATGCTCGAGGCTTTGTACTGAAGTATCTTTATACGTAGACGTGTGGGTACTGTTACAAATGCAGACTGCGCTGGTGCTAGCAGTACCCCATGACAAAGTTCTCTGTAAAACAGTCTTTAATTATATAGCTGTAGATCAGGTTGAATATCTGCTTCATGTTTGCTCATCCCCCCTGTCAAGCGTCCTTTCTAACTGTAAAATTCAGTGTCTAAAGCTGATGTTTACAGAAACAAACAGAAAACTAACCTGTAAAAATGTTTAGTCCTGACTAAGGCTCAGACTGGCACCTGAGTCCAAATACTTTGAGTTCCCTGAAGCTGGTTTCCATTCAGAGTTTTGCAGATCAGGCTGAGTTATTGGTCAGGCATTCTTCGTCCCCTCTAGCTTAGGTAAAGCATTCGTCATCTGCCTGTTGATATTTGTTGCATAGATTCATCTTTTTTTTTTTTTTTCCAGTTTCCTCCACTACTTGAATTACTCCTCAGTTTCTTGCTAGCCTTAATTTGAATCATTTTAAATCTATTATTTCAGCTTCTAAAGATGATTATTCTGCATTGAGTCAACAACCTTAGCTATGCATTTGCTGACATTCCTCCATAGTAACTCTCTGCGCCTATTTTATCACTTATGGAATTGCTTTCTAATCCTTTTCATGGGTCTTTTTTCAAATTGCCTTCTTATATAATAGATAATAACATTTATTATAAAATGAAAGTAAAACCAATTAAATCTGCCTTATTGTACTTACAAAAGATTGATGTGTGTAAAGTCTAACAGCTTATTTGGGGATTTTAATCTAGAAGTGCCCTGCAATAACATTCTGTTGTGTTCTGGGAACTAGCTGTAATAGAGAAGCCGCTGCCTGCAGAGAGGCTGAACTAAATTAAAGTATTGTGTGCTCGTATTCTAGCATCTGCCTCTGGAAAATGCTTGAAAATGCCCTAAAGTAGCAGCCATTTCTTTGTTTAAGTTTGAAAGCTTTTTGTACCTGTTCTCATTAATGCTGTAGTGCAGAAGATTCACTCTTCAGTAAATGAATTGAACAGAAGCTTCTGCAAACGAAGAACAGATTGCCGTTTTCTCATTTCTGTCTCCATTATATTTCTGATGTTTGTAAAGGGTTCAAATGTGAACTCTTGGGACCTAGGTTTTACTATACTTGCTTCAGCATATGTGTTCCCTGCTAGAAAGGAGCAAAACAGAACTAAATGAATACTGCAAAAATTTAAATATTATACTGTCTGAATGATTAAGAATTTCTTAACCTTTCTTGACTCTTTCTCTTGAGTGATGCTTGTATGTAAGAGACTCTAAATGTATACTTGCTCTCAAGTCTTTTATTTTTCTCCTCCATTATAACATTTTCATTCATTCAGCCCTGGATCAGAAACCATACCATGTGATTTACAATTGTACGTGACATAAATAGTTGAAGCTGTAAGAGCAGCGAGTAGTAAACAAACAGACTGTAGGCAGCAATACATCTGAAAACAGGATTTTTATACATGAATAATCCATGAGTTTATAAAAATTGGTCTGCTTATAGACACTGTAGGAATAGAAGAATGATTTAATTTATTTAATGAGTTATTTTCTCCTGCTTCAAAAACAATTCCAAGAAAAAGAATAGCTGTGATGTACAGACTTGCCAAAGTTAGCTGTTGCTATTTCAGAAAATAAAATATGGGTCCTGCAAATGGGGTATGTACCTCGGAGAGCACTTCCCAGCCGCTGCTCGGGTTCGTGCAGCCCTTCGCGAGCTCCTGCAGCAGGGCTGGGTAGACAGGCTCCCGCTTCCACTGCTTGTCCCTGTCCCCTGGCTGGACAAAGGTTGTTTGAACCTGAACGTCCCGTACGCAGGAAGAGCGCCCAGGCAATCAGTGCAGAGTGTACTAAGGTCTCCTATTATATAAGGAGACCAACGTGTATTGGTAAATCTAGTGTGAAAGAATGCAAATGTTTAAATGCAAAAATAATGACTAATTATATCTCTGATTCTTTCTCTTCATCGTATCTCTTCAGCCAAAAATATTTGTTGAATTTGAAGCAAATTACATCTGTAGTTTCTGACTGATTTGAAAATGGCTGGTATAGCTAAGAGGGTCATTTCTTCCTCCAAAAAAGCCATCAACTCTCTTCCCATCTGAAGTTTCCTTTGCTCCTGATGCGAGTTTCTTTTATGGTTTGTAACAAGCTCTGTGTGTCTTTCATGTGAGTTCTTGTGTATTTAAAAACAGTACTTAGAAGGAGCTCTGTTAGGATAAATTAATATCTTAAAGTGCTTGCAATAAGAAATGCCTTCTACTAGTATTAAGTAGGAATAGTAAAAGCTAGTTTTAGAATGCTTACAAAGGAAACAATTGGAAATGGGAAACCAGAAAAGGATTGTGAATAGAAAATAACGAAGGGATTAGGAGAGTGTGATAGTGCTTCACACTGGGATTACTTATATACGTTTAATTAAGAGTCAATAAGGTAGGTTTTGAATGTACATAAACTGAACATAGTAGAACCTTGTTAATTTGCACCCTAATAATTTGCAGATTTTATAATTCATGAAAAAGAAAAAAAGAAAAAAAAAAAAGCTTCCTTCTGCCTCCCAGCAATGATTTAACACCAGAAGCTATAGTGAAATTGCCTATTATTAACACTTGGTTTCTTTGGCAGGTATACCAGAAAGCAATGGCTAGTGTATATGACTGCATTATAAAGGATTAAGACTGGAACACAGTTACTGAAATGAAGTACACTTTACAGTGCGTTATCTTCACATTCCTACTTGTTCATGTGGCACCGAGCGCAACTCCCAAAGATTTTCACTGATTTGGAGTGAGTCATAATTAAGCACTTGTACCAGGTCACAAATGCAATGGTTTGCACTAGCTCTCAGGCATTACAAAGACAAACCACTACCACCAGCAGCCCAAAAGCTTGGTCACAGAAGCTTCTGAAAGTGCTTGAAAGTCCCTTGTGATTGTTCAGGTTTCCTCTTTGGAGGTTTTAGTCAGTTGTGAGATGTGGCAAGAGGTCACCGCTGCTGCTGGTGCGCTTCACTGTCTGCGGGACAATGCACAGCATTCATGCATCGCTGCAGGCTAAGAAACTGAGAATAAGTTGTTTTAGGTTGGTGTGAGTTTTTCTAAAGTGAATTTCTATTAGACAACTCTTGTCCATTTTTTTCTCTCAATTTAGGTCTTTCAAGATGGTTTCATTGCCTACTCTTATTTTGTGCAGAATATCCAGATCAAATTTTTCAGTGATGCAGTTGAATCTCTGTTCCTTTAGGTTTATTTACCGGTAGGGTAAATTCATTTTAATGTCACTCTGTAACACTATAGTTGGCACTAAATTATTATTTGACTATGATTTTTCAGCCACTATGTTACTCTGTTTTTGCATGTAATATTTTCAGCTTCCCACTGGTGAAAGAGTTCAAACAATCTAGTAAATATATTATTAAAATTTAGAGAGATTCTAAACGTGCTTCATCCTTTTGATTAATTCATTCATTTGGTAATTAGATTGAGACATTAAATGTATTTTTACTTATGAACTCATTGTTTCTGAACTGAAATATGGGTCCTGGTAGATGTTTTAGAGTACTCTGAGAAAAAAATTTTTTTTTTCAATTCCAGTTGTGTGAATTGCCCTTGAGATGCTGCACCAGAGATGAGTGACCTTGAGACGCAGCCAAACTGCAAAAAAGAGAAAGTGACAATATGACTGTATCGGATGAAGATTTTCCAGTCTGCATTAGTCCTGACTCTCTAGTTACCTGGAAACTGTCTGTCGAGCTGTATGTGAAAACCTGGAGCATGCGTCACTGAGCCAAGTTTCATCGTCTGCCGGGTAATTACAGCTCGTGTCATCTTCAGCAAGGAGTTGCCCATGTAAAGCTATGGGCAGAGTACACCGCAGGAAAACAAATGCAAACAGGTATATCTGTTCAATCAAGAATGCGTACCTGCAGCTTTCATTTTGCAGCTAAAAGGCCTATAGCAAGGTGGAGGAGATGGCATTTGCATTGTGATTGCTATTTAAACCGAAATTAGCATGAACTTGTGTTCAGTGGCTGATGTTTAATGTATGTCAGATGAAGTGGTACTTTGATAAACTGACTCCAAGGATTGTTATGACATTTCTTGTCTGCATCCTACAACGTGATTAAACTGCAGTAATACTTTGTGATTAATAGTGTTAGTTCTATCTTAGGCTGAATCTTCCTGGCACAGGAACTAATCAAATCACTTTGTAAGGCAAAACTTTTTTGTTTTTAAAAAAAAAAAAAAAAAAAAACAACTAAAACCTAAAAGACTGCACGCAATAAAAACGCTCCCCAAATAAACCTAACTGTTGTGTGAAAATAGCAAGGATGCTATTTACGTGGTAGGGTAAATTATTTTTATTTTATTTTATTTTACCTTTGCTTTGAAACAAGTTATCTCTTAGAAATAGCACTAAATCAAAAGCCTTCAGAGTTTGGAATAGTGTAGCTTGCGTTGCATCTTATTGATGAAGCTAAAATAATAAAAACTGAGGATCTCAGCCATGATAGGTGTTGCAGGGATTGCTCAGCTCCAGATCCTTCACTACAGTCTTTTTTCTTTTTTTTTTTTTTTTAAAGTATTGGTCTTCTGAGCAAATATGGGTTACTACAGTTCCATTACACCTGCAGTGCTAAAGTTCTAGCAAGAAATCAATAGGCCTTGGCAACTTAAATGCATACCTTCTGGATATCTTGTGTTACACATTTGCCAAGGCTCATTTGAGCAGAAATTGGTTTGCTAGTTTTGTAGGAGCATTTTTCCTGCCTCAAAGGAGAGAAAAACAGTTCATCTTGTCAAGAAACTTCTGTTGCAAATAATGCTTTTTCTCTTCACCAGCTACCTTTGCTTCCTACTGTGTCCTGCAAGGAAGTCCTGCTAATGCCAAGAGGTAGCAGGAAGCTGTTTGACAATGGAGAGGTGCCCTGAGAAACGCCATGATTTCACCAGCTTAAGCATTAGGAATTCACTGCAACACTCCCTGGCAGAGAGTAGATGAGCAGTAAGACAAAAGCGTTATTCTGGCAAGGAAGTTCTCAAGTATGTAATTAGTCAAAGTGACAGAAGAGAAGACCGGGTATGAAAACATGTGAAATTAAATGGGGCTAAATACACAAACCTGCTCTTACTGTTGGTCACTGTTAGTGACTTTAAAGCAAGTACGACCGGGCAGCACCAAGTTCATTTTATTTACCTGGTGAACCGTAAAGCAAATGCGATTTCCACAGTTTTTCAAAAATCCTCTTACTGGTTGGTGCTGAAAAGGAGCCCTTTCTGTCCTGGGGGGCTTGCCTCTCCTGAAGTTCAACCTTCAGCAATTACTTGCCACAGCTTCCACAGCTCAGAGCGCTGTCTGCGCTAGGGCAAACTGTTTTACATGGCCAGCAGTTTTCTAGCACTCCACCTGTGATGACGCTGGGAACTACCTTCATGCTTCAGTTTTAAGGCATGACTGACGAGGTAATTTATCTTTTATTTTTGCGTATGTGTGTATGTATATATATTTTACTATAGTAGATGTTCAGCCGATTTTATTATTTTTATCACAAATTATAATTTAACTTGTACATCTTAAAAAATGTTTTGAATTCCTCATAGGAGTCAAGATTTTTTTCAGTCTATTTTTGAATTGTATCACCTCATTGGTTGCTATGAGTAACTTAAGATTTATGGGGTTTGTTCTTTTCTTAATACAACTTTCTTTTCCCTAGGATTAAGGTTGAAATAAATTGCTTCATCTTGTTACCCATTACTTGCATTCATGGGTAAATTAGTCTTTCATTCCCTGTCACTGATTTTTCAAATGCTAGCAATTAAAATTGCAGAAGTGTTTTTAATGCCTAAGATTAAGCAGGTGTTGGTGGACACATTAGCTTTAGACACAAATTTGGCAGGTAAATTTTAATTTAGAATGCCTGATTCTGTATAACTTGTTGCTAATTTTGGTTTTGCTGACCTTTCAGACATGCTTAAAGGGAAGATAAATTATGAAAATGTTTACCACAATTTTTTGGCATCTATCCCTGAAACAGGAACACTTAAGAAAAGGAGCTCTTCATTTGGAGAGATGTGTGTAATGGCTGATATCAAAACCTGTTCACCTGTCCACTAAGACAATAACCTGAGAGCTACTACTAAGTTCATTAGCTGGAATGACTCTCTCTCTCCTATAGTCTAGCTGCTATGAGTTTTGTCTGCAGTTAACTTTGAAGCGCATTCCTTATCTGATGAATGACTTGTTTCGTAAGGTCCTGAAACTCACTGCTATCTTGAATGTCTCAACATCCCTTTTCTGATGTTGCTACCTTGTGAATGATTTTCCTAATTATATCACGTTTTTTTGAAGGCACATTGCATCTTCTGTCCTGCCAGACAACCCTTGGAGTCTCAGTAGGTGGAGAGCAGCCAGATGTAATTTTGCAGCTGCCTTGTGAAAATCCCAGTGGCTGAGACCTTGGTGCAGGTAGTGCTCATAGGCAAATCTAAACTTTAAGAATTCTTATAAGGCCCATCCTGAGCCTTGACACGTTCCCAAATTCCTGAGGACAACAGGCGCACCCTTTCTGAAGAACATGCTTGCCTATGGCCTTTAGGGCCTATGGAATGAACCTGAATCTGTCTCTCGGAGGCAGAAAATACTGCTTTTTTAATTTACAGGCCTTGTGGATGTAGGCCATCACTCATATACTTTTTTAAAAGTATTTAATAAACATCTATATCTTCCTTGCACAAAGAAAGGTCTATCTTTAAAAGTTATTTCCAACAAGTTTATCATTATTTTTTAAATCATCTCCTGAAACTTTCAATCCCCCACACAATTGAACAGATTAATCTGAAAGTGAGGTATAGAAATAAATCCATCAGAAAACAAAATGTTACTTCCTGATTTGTGTTGCTTTTTTCCTAAGGAGCGACATGTGCAAACATGCTATTTGCTGTTCTTGACTGGACTCAATTTATAAGGCTGTGTACTGTACTGTGCTTGCTTAGCTTCTATTTTCTCTCCAGTCTAGACCCACTAACCCATGAGTATAGAAGGAAAAAATTGTTTTAAACCACTTTATGCTCATCTAAATACAGGCCAAGCCTTATTTTGATATAAAAATGGAGCTGATTACAAGCTGCTCCAATGTTTTTCTAGCTGTTTGAGAGGTGGTTCAAGTACTGAAGTGCTGGGTTTTGCCATAACAGTAACAGGACAAGGACTAGCAAAATGCAGGTCCAGTGCCATGACATGTCATGCTGTGTTTTCTCTACCCTTGGGGAATTTTCCTAGGAGAATTGAAGTTTGTCTGAAAACTGTTTTGCACTACTGGAACAGTTTAAAGCTGTTTCCTGAAAGTGAGTCGGGTCTGTTGTGTCTAACGACAGATGCTTGCGCTCCTTTCTTCTGATCTGCATGGACTCACATCTGAGCCTTAACCTGACAAAGTACATTTGAACGGTGTCCTTTTGCTTCACATCATTTGCTCTTCCACCCAATTTAATCTACCAGCCTATTTGCCAATGCTGAGTGTTACAAGAAGGGATATCCTCTGCTCAGCACCAGAGTGTCCTAGGGAATCTCTCAGACAAATGTGTGTGTTTCTTCTCAGGAAATTTCTAAACTTGACTATGAATAATACAGAGTGTGTCGAGAGTGTCCGATTTAGTGGAAATGGCAATTAGCTGGGAGCTGGAAGTCGAGACTTTTTAGGCTTTACCTCTGAAAGGGGATAGATATGGCCTGCTGCATTACTCTGGGGAAGTTACTTTGCTTGGTGCATCTGTTTTTACTTTTCTCTCTCTCTCTTTCTGTCTTTCTCCTCTTTCCCCCTCCCCTTAGACTGTAGGATCTTTTTAACAGGGTGATTTTTTTCTATATTGATAATAACCTGATAGGCAGACCTATCCTCCTTTAGATGCAGTAGGATTTTCTGTACTGCAATTAAAGTAGTTTAAAAAGGACTTTGGAAAATGTAAAGTAAAATGTACTGTTAAAACAGTTCACTTGCATTTTTCTTCCAATTTTTGCCTCTCTCTGATTAAAATATAAGTTTATATTTTAAAATCAAAGTTAAACCCAGTGAAATCCAATGTTCTTTTCCATATTTTTCCCCTCTTCCTTTTCAGTGTTCCTTACAGCATGCTAAAAATCCTTTCATCCTTTTGTCTGTCTTCTATGTCATTAAATGTATGGGTTACCCTTATTTTCACAAGGAAGAAATTTATCTAGGTTATTCCTGGGGCTAGAGCAGTTCTTGGCTTTTTATGTCAGCTGCCCATGGTCAGTCTTTCTCTGCTGTCAGGAAAGTGGACAACAGCTCCATCGCATGCCTGGGGAAGTGAGGAGCCTGATGGCAGAAGGGAGTAGCTGTATTTGGGTATGGGGAACCCATCTCAGAGAGCCTCAGCAACTGAATAAACATTTAATTTTCTTTTTAACCAGTCTGGTATGTTTAGCAGTTGGAATCAGATTTCCTTCATTCAACTCCACCCAATCGAAGGTGGCATCCATCTTGTCTTCCTAGTCTTATTGTCTTAACAATAAATTCACGTACCTTTTGACACTGAGCGTTATGCTCGTGGCTTTACTTCTGTCTGTTCAGACGATAGTCTCGAAAGAGGGGGAAAAAAAATAAACCCCCAAAAACCCACTCACTGTGTTTGTGAGAACGTTTACTTTCTTAAACCATTTGAAACTAATTTTATCAGCTCATTTCTCCAGACGGTTTCTGATCTCATCTTGTATTAAAATGTCTGACCTCACTTGTCAACAAAGGTCAGACATAGTTTATAGTTCCCTCATTTCTCTTTCACTAAGTGGCACCCTCTTTGGTGCTGCTACTCCTGTTTAGAGAGCTACTTTTCTTCCAGTCGTAGTTTCTTCTGCTCCTTTTTAAGGAAGGGAGCTAGAAATCAGTCCATCTCTGGAGTTCAACTTGCCTCACTATTAATACGCAGGCATGATCTGCTCTGGACTGTTTGCTGCTGTCCCCTTTACCCCTTCTCTAGGTGCTCAGCCCTGCCACCCACTGCCAAACTCAAGGGTGCCAGTTAAAAAGGTCTAGCTGCCCCTTTATGTTACGTAGGACGTTACAAAAGTGTGTCTCAGCTGTTCAGAAAGGAACATGTCACTTCTGGATATCAGTGCTGAACTGGAACCCTGGGTGCTAGTGGTCTCCGGATGCTGCCTTTAGCAGCAGCTGTTCGAAGCTCCTGATTCTCTTACCCCTGCCATGTTAGCAAGATGAGGTTGATCTGTCTTCTTTCTCCTCATGCTTTCTTGCCAGATGGGATGTTTTTCACTTTCTTCTGTGACGTGTTCTGCTGGGCTGCTGTACTTCAGCAAAGAGCTACAAGAGGGCCTTAGAGGTGAGAAAATTTCAGTAGCGAGTGAAATGCTTCCTGTGCGGCCTTCGTGTGCTAAGGTGTTCTGGATGTAGCTAATTACTGCATTAAGCTAGTTTTGGATCAAGGAATGAAAGAAAGGAGAAAGAGTAAGGAGAAAAGGAGAATGAAAGAAAGAAGGTGGGGAGGGGACTTTAATTTTCGATGCCTTTACTGTGCTGCTGCATCTCTTGTTAACCGCCTTTTTAAAAACACAGGAAAGATCTGATTGTTCGTAAACATGGACTGTTGTTTGACCAATTGTCTTTTATGGTTGTATGTTTCTAAATGACATCCTTCTGCTGGGCTTCACATTTTTCTCTGGCGTGTTCACAATGAGTATTTGTGTGTAGGTTGGATGCTTTTTACCTTGTGATTTTGACCCAGTCTGCATTGTTTCTTACCTGCTTTCCATGGGAAGTGTAGGTATTAAGGTTAGTTGTGAGCCATGGACCAAAAAGAGAGACTTAGACTTGATATTTTTCATTAGAATTTTACTCTCTTTTAAAAAGGGAGTTTTGTTTTTTGCTTTTGTTTTTTTCCTCTTAAAGCAAGTCTCTGAGATAAATGAGGACAGATACCTCCCACGCTTTCAATCAGGATATGGATCTAGGAAGGAGAAACTTCTCCATACTTCGCTACAGCTGTCATTCTAGCTGAGTCCATGTGTAACCGGGAATGCAGATGTCTGCTTGCATCTCCAGCTTCATTTCAGACGAGTTCGGAAGGTAATTTGTTTCTTGCTGAGAACTTAAGATGCCATAGCACTACTTTGAATAAAACAGCACCTGTAATTATATGAGAGTCCATGTTCACCCAGCCTTTTAGTAGCTTCTCCTGGCAGATATATTCCTATCTCAGGAATCAGTCAGCCATCCATCCTTGTTGATATCAGGGCAAACAATTCATTCATCTCTGTCCATTTTGTCAGTAATATACAGGCAGCTGCTCCTCGACCCTCATCTGATCCCTGAGTCTGTCCATATGGCAAATATGTGTTACTGTGTCACTGCTGTTGAAGAGCTTTTTCCTTTTTAACAGTCTCTCCCCCCCCAATTTATCATTCTTGTTGTCTCAGGTTAACTCCATAATCTTTATTGTCACCTTTTCTACTTTTTTTTTTTTTTTCTCTATATCTACCTCTTAGTTAGGCACTATTCTGGCTGTCTTTCTCCCTTTCCCTGCTGCTGCTGTATTTATTGATGAATGGCTCATCTCATCCCAGGCCACATAATCAGTACTTCTCTTCCTACTCTCTTGCTGAGAACTTGAAAAATGTACTTTGCAGAAATATGTGGGGATAGGACGTTTTGTGGGCTTTAGGGCAAACTAGAGGCAAAAATCCCCTCACCTTTTAAAAAAATGCCCATCTAATATATAGTACAGCACTTTGAAAACTGACGCCTGTGCCTCTGTTCCTCATTTAGGTCATGAGTTATCTGTGGTTGTATATGGTTACTGTTGCATCAGTGCTGGGATTTTTATTTTCTCCCCTTTTCTTTTTAACAGCTCTTACCCTCTCTCTTGTAGCTAACCCAGATAATGGTTCTACTATGTTTAATTCACAGGCAAAGTCCTCACTGCCTCCGCTGTGCACAGGATCAGTCCTAACAGCTCTCTCTTTCTGAGGTCTCCTCTCCTCGCTTGGGAGGGAGAAGGGCTGTGTGTACTGTGCAACACCAGGGGTGGGGTACGGGCATGTCTGCAGTTCTTGGAAACACCACCCAGGCAATTGTCATATGCTGGTACTAAAAACTGCATTTCTGTGGGTTCAAAAACCAAAATAGCCCCCTTTCCCCAGCTTCCCAACACATGAGTTAGATACAGAAATCACAGCAATGCCTCTTTTTTAAGGCATAGCGTAAAGATAAAATAGGAGCAAAAGTCCAAGTCTGTGAAAAGTTACCACAACGTATTTATCCACTTCTCTGCATTTTTTCTTTTAGCTTTGCGTCATCCTCTGTCAAATCTGTTGTAGCATCCCACTTAACTTGACTAGCTTTTAAGCTCTCAAGTAGCTTCCCAGTTTCAATGCGCACTGCATAACCAGGCAAACAAACCTCCGCTGTAGGTTATTAAGGTTTGCTTTAAGTTTGCCTATGGTGAGAAGTGCTTCTTGCTCTGTGGATGTTGCACTGAGAAAATGCTTTTTTTTTTTCTTTTTTATATTAAAAAGCTAAATGAAAAATTCTGCTCCAAGTTATGGTGGATGATGATTAGCAAATAGGATGAAGTTACTGCTATTTCATGCTGCTGTTGAATGAGTGAAGGATGTGGCATAAGTTTTAAACCTGAATGTTTCTGCTTTTGGACTTAGTGTTGTGTTTTTAGTAGCATGTTTGAGGTTATGTAAAATGGCTAATGTAAAAATGCATCATTTTGTGTCTTGAGTATAACAATTGGTTTAGTAGAGCAATACTCAAATCTGTCTCACTTTCCAGTGTTAGTCTGGAGCTGCTGTTTAACTGATACCCAAAATTAAAACTGATAAAGGGATGGGGGGAGATCTGTTGAATTTACATAGTTTCTTTTCCCCCAGCTCCTTTGCTGTAGGTGTGTGCCTTAGTTTCTAGAGCTGCAGTGAGTAATGTAACCCCCTAAATGAGACAACAGCTTTTTTTCCTGTGATCAGTGCTGTTCCTCCCCCATGTCCTTCCCCATGTTCCTCCCTTCCCCTTCCAGGTTTCATGCTCACCTGAAAAGCTGCATAAAGCCATAGGAGCTGCTTTTCCCCTTGTGTATATCCCAGGGGCATGGCAATAGCTTTTATTTTGGGATCATCACAGCTGCTGATGGATGAATACAGGGGATAGAGGAGACAGATATAGCAGGAACGTTGAGATAGTTGAAGTCCAAGGCTGCTATAGGATGAGGAAGGTATAGGGAGAAAGAAAAGGGCAGGTAGTGGGAAACATGGTGAGTGGCCCTGTGATCCCAAACCTGAGGTGGTCATTAGCAGCTGGCAGGATCTGGATGATTATAGGAAGCTTAAAGGAAGTAGCTGGCCAAAAAGTCATACCCCTGAATGATCCTTAAACTTTGCATAGCCCTCAATCCCACTGAACTCCTGAGAGAGGAAGTTTCAAGTGCCTCCTCCAGTTTCTCATAGCTGTGGCCTGAAGCAGAGGATAAAGGATTACTGTTGTCACTCAAAAACCATCTAGAAAAGCTTTCTGTGGCAGTGCCATGTCATGTAAATAACTATGAAACAGTGGGAGTATAAGAACTGTGCTAGTAGATTTCCATGGCCTGCTTAGCTGCGGTCCATTACTTACGCCGCCATCTTTCAGCGTTAGTTTAAAAAGCATTTGAGAGGCAGGTGAAGTTACTGTTTGTCCCTGCTGCTCTGATGGCTGAGGAGGTAACACAATTGTCATTCCTTTCTTCTCTGTTTTTTTTCTTTTTTATTGTATTGATTTTTCAATAAGATACAGGCTTTACTCTTGAGAGCAAAGCAAGAAATGAAACTGTTCAATAATAGCTGTAATGGGGATGGAACCCTCCTCAGGAGGAGAAAAATTTTACTGCATTTCATAATAAGTATCTTGCTGCTTTGTATGCTTTCACTGTGTGATCAAGGACTCCCTGTCCCTCCAGTGACATGCTGCAGTGACCAGGAGGCCACCATCTTTTGTTCCTGGGTTTTCTTTCCAGTTGGTCTCATCCAAAAATGAGAACTCACCTCTCATGGTGTTTGTATAGATGTAACATGCTTGGATCACAAATTGTTAGCTTTCTCTGAAACATGTGTTGAGCCCTAACACTAGTCTTTGTCATGCTATCATCTCAAAGACTAAATTATGGGATTGCCTGTACTTCTGTCTGATACTTCTGTATCAGACAATCTGATCTCTGTTAAATTGCCAAGTGCAGTACAGGGCATCTGTAACACACAGACATCACTAATATGTCTATATTATTTTTAGATAATCTATTCTATTTGTCTTTTTTTTTTTTTTTTATTTCATTGCAGTTTTATAATTAAGCCTGGCTCTGAAGTTGGGGGGGAAAAAAAATGCCCTGTGTAGTGGCGAGCTGGACACTGTCATGTATTTGAAAACATTGGTGCAATGATAGCTGTGTTACGCATTGTTTCTGTCTGTCAATATAATGTATAGTGTCTTGGGATCCTTAATGCATAGACTGACCCAATTGAGTGGATTGGCTCATTCAGTTGATAGTGTTTATTATGTCATGGTCTATCTGTGAGTTTAAATTAAAACATTATTGGTCTGATTGCCTTGAATGGCTCTATCTGTCAAGTCAATGAAGGCTTGTGAGATTTTGCTGCTTCATATGTCATGACGTAACTCTTTCTATTAAAAAAAAAAAAAAAGCTCACACAAACAGTACAGCAGTCATATGGTATATTTAGAGCTCTCTACTGCAGCCTTTTAAATTTAAATGCTCAATAATTAGTAAAGGTATTTAAGAGGGGCTAATGCATTGTAAAGTCAAGCACCCAAAAGTTAGGAAGCATCAGACTTAAAGTCTCTGTGTAGACAGGCTTCTACTAGGACTTTCAGAAAGGTCTAAGAAGATAAGAGGCATAGCTTCTGTTGAAATGTATAGAAACCAGGGCCAAACCATTATTTACTTTTGAAAATCTGACCAGGTACTGATCTATATTTTTGGATATAAAATTAACAATGGTAGATGGACGGCCTGTATTTCACTGGCAAATCAATGAGACTTAGCTAGAGGTGATTTTACATCACAGTGTAAGTACTATATAGATATCAGAAAATCACTCTGAAGTATCAGGCCTCTTGTCACGAAAGTATGTTTTGCTTAGTTGTCGAGGGAATTTTCTCCAGCACCTAGACCTGAAAAAAAGTTTATTGGAGCTATTAAAAGTGTATGAAGTCTTAAATCTTTTGCAAAAGTGAGGCATGTAGGTGCAGAGCTATAAAGTTCTTAAATACAGAAAAAGCAGGTCCTCTTTGCTTTCAAACGATTAATCTAAATCCAAATTTTTTTTTTTTGAAGCTAAGCATGAATTTCCCTCTTTTTTCAATACTGAGCCAAATCTCTACACTTTATATGTGTCATTAAAACCCTCTCCAAGTATTTCTTGTTGCATTGCACAATGTTATTTTCGGGAATTGCTCAAAGGTAAACTTGCACTGTAACATAACTTGACATTATAAAGTAATTAAGAAATGAGAAAAGAGATGTATTAACATGCTGTCACTGAAATTATCACTCTCATAGTTGTTTAAATTGAAATTATCTGGTTTAATCTGAAAATAGTACAGAATAACTGTAGCTTTTTTGTCTACCCTTTGGGGAAAAATGGTGATTTGTTTGACACGATTCATTTTTATCTGTGCTTTTCTAGGTTTTTTGGCTACTGTTTGAAGGAGCCACTGGCGTGCAGCTAGAGACGTTAATACGGAAGGTAACATACTCCATTTTAAAAGAAAGAACTGAAGACAGAGTTGAAAGCTTGCTGTTCCAAAGTTGACAGTTGTGCAGTGTATTTAATTGTATTATTATTGTAGTCTTAGTTGCATCTGAACTGTCCAAAAGTCTTTGCACTGTAAATCAGTTCTCAGGTGCTGAGGTAGATAAGTGCTCCTTGTTTTACTATTCGTGGATGTTTCAAATGAAACGTATGTGCAGAGCTGTGCACTCTGAAGACTGAAGAGCTCAAATATGGAGGAATAGAGACTGACCTTGTCTCTCATGCCAAAATTCCCTTCTTTTCTTGCTGCTGTGCTTTGCAGCTTATATTAGCTTGTGGAAAATCCTATAATGAAAGATACTAACAGGAGGAATACTCTGACTTTAAATTTCACACCTGATAATTCCTAGCCCATGTATGTTATGATAATGAATTCCTCTGTTTCAAGGAACAAACTACTTTTAGTAAATGGGAGGGGAGAAAAATCAGTCATAGCAGTGCATTTTCCATTATCAGATATGCCTCTGATTATCGTCTGTTACTGGAATTAAAATTCTGACCAACTTCAGTTCATGGGGTTTAGCAAAAAGTACTTTAAGCAGTTAATCAAGTATAATTTTTTCCTAGTCTGTTGTGCAAGTAACAGGAATGTGCTAGGAATGCAAGTAACTTGCCTAACTCAAAAGAATAAAATCACATGTTAAACTTTCCTCTGATAATTTTGGGAGACGACTTTTTACTTTTGCTCTCCCTCATCTTATATTTCTACACAAGTGACGACACGCATGCTGAGATGCAGCAGAGGTCTAGAGGAACATGCAGGAATGGTCTCATTTAGAGTTCAAATGACTGCTCACGTTCTTGACCTTTGTCCAGTTTTTCCTTCAGTTACAGATCTACTCACTGGCACCTGTATCTTTGCGCTTGCTCTGCAGAGGTGATTCTAAAATGCTGTCCTCTATGGCAAAACAGCATGATAAATTGCAAGTTACTGAGCGTAGTATATGCCAAAATGCGTATACCTCTTGGCATTACAGAAGAGCTGAGAGAAGTTAAGTTCATATTCTGCAGGCTTTTAAATATCAGCAATGAATTTGTTTCATACTTGGGTGGAATCAAGTCTCTGAAAAGTGTTTCACTTGAAGCACTTGATGCCTTGGCCAGAGCGCTTACGTGGCTGTGGACTTTCTGTCCTAGTCAGACTTGGACTTTCTGCGTACAGGTGGGTGGCTTAAATGTCCTGACTCTTGGCTGACAGGGTTTGAGTCTTTCTCTGCGTTTCTGCTGCGACTGTTCCGCTCTCTAAATAAATTCAGACTGTAGCTTAGCCTTGGCTTCCCACCTCCAAGGTGAGTGCACTTGCTGCCTGGTTTCTATTGTTAGATCTCCTTCTTTTAGTGAATATTGGCTTATTTGTGTGAGGTAGAACATTCCAGCAAAAAATATTGCACCAAGCTCATCTAAAAGAGTCGGAGTCCAGTAAAGCAGAGACTTGAAACTCTTCCTCCCATCTAGACCAAATGATCTCTTCTGGGCTTTGTGCTGAAATGAACGTTCTCATGAAAAAGTCTGGGCTGGACCTGGGAATTTCCTTTCGGAATCGAAATACCACACAAATAGCTTTACTTATTTGACATTATGTTTTGACTAGGGAGAAGTAGAAAAAAAATAATGTTTATCTTGCTTGCAGTTAATGCTTGCTTTATGAGATATCGCCGAGATGGTAACACAGGGGATTGTTTTGTCTTGTTGTATCAGAGGAGCATTGAGATGTACCATAGGCAAAAATGTGTAATTCTGTGGCACCTAATATATCTGTATCGCATCCTGTTTGAACACTGATAAATTGAAAATGTTGAGTAATTTGCCTTGGAAGGAGCTATGATCTTCAGAAGTCATTGATCCCAGAACCAATGTTTTTATTCCTCATATTGCTGAATATTTTTCCCCACATGTAAATTGGGGGAAATGATGTTTTTCTAAATTAATTCACAGTTTAAAACTGCAGTGTGTTGTATTTCTGCTTGAACACTTATAAAATTTGCTACAGACAATTTCATTGTGTTCAAGTTAGTCTAGTAGTAGCAATAAACATTAACTTAAATATTGCTTGGTTATACAAAGCAGCTGAATATAATCAGTCAGTGGGAAATGCAATAGAAAACTGCTCTCCTGGCTCATAGCTTTTGGTTTAGGTGACTCTTAGGTGTTTTTGCTAGTCCTTTTGAGTGTAATCTTTCTATATGTATTTTTTGTGACAAAAAGTGTTTTTATTCTCATATGCAATTTGTTTTTTGTAAAAGTTGTTTTTCCATTTTCATTTAAAATCACCTTTTTTCCTCATAATTTCTAAAAACTGGCATTTTAGGCAGTTACTGTTTGCAGTCGTGATGGCAAAAACATTTAAAAATTATTGATGCAAAGTGGAACAGACTGAGCTTGGTTTTGTCATAGTGTTCAAAAAGGCTTACTGCAGTTCTAGGCTCTTGAATGGATACGTGGCATAGCAAGAGAAGAAAACACTTACCACTCATATCTTTGACTCTTTTTCGTAGAAGCTTGTACCAAATGATGCAGGAGCAAGTGTGACGAATTCAGTGGATGGCACAGCCTGCTGTTGTAAGCAACCCACAAAAAGCATCGTTTGCAAAATGAAGCTGTTTGACTTGTACAATTTATAGCTCTGTTGGTCCAGTTCATGGCAGCTTTTTTTTTCCTTACCAAACTAATGTCTGGGTTCAAATGTTCGCGGTAATGTCAAGGTCTGATATTTTTACCTCTCCCTTTCTCTTGATTTTATTGATTTTTTTTTTTTTTTAAAGCCAAGCATTCCATGAATTAGTTATAGTAAGAAGGCTTATTGTGGAATGTGATATAATTGGCAACTCATTGTTGATGTAGGAGATTTATGTTGGCCTTATAGTAATAGTTTATAATTGGAAGCATATGCGATTGCTGGTGTCTAGACTTGGGAACTTTCCCAGGAAGGAGTTCCAGGTGGTTATCTAACCATAATAGGCCAAATGGCTACCTCTTAAAGGTTGTAGACATGGGAAATATGTAAATACTGCTGGCAAACTAATTATTCCATAAATTTAAGTTTTTTAAATTGCAATATATCCTTCCACATTTAAGTGTTTGACCGGCTGATTTCTTTTTCTCTGGATTGCTCCCTAAACTGAACAATGTAAAAGCAGACATGAGCAGTTTTTGATTAGCTTGGGTGTCAAAAAGCTTAATTATATAATGTGCCTGATCTAGTTGCATTAATGTACCAGTGCCTAACTTGAAATAGCAAGTAGTTGTGTTGCTATATTTATTAAATTAATTCTGTGAAATCTGATTTGGTGTATAGTAAGTTCCATGGCACTTTCAGTTTTCTCTTTCTGGGCTCGTAGATTAATTCTGGAAGGAGCTCAGAAAGGAAACATATCTGAAAGTTGTATAGCCTACTGAAGGATGGGGTGATTTGATGTCCTGATCCCACAGTTTGTCTTCAGCATGCTTCGCATATTAATTTATCCCTGGAGAAGGAAAGCACAGTTGGTTGTCCCAGCATGGACGCACTGCAAATATTGTTCTGGGACCTGCATAGCTTCTGACTGACAATGAATATTTTCAGCTCTAGTTCTTACTGTACAATAGGAAATACAAAAGAAAATAAGTAATTTGCTGGGCCTAACACAGTATGACTTGATCATTGTGGCTCAAACAGAGAACATAGAAGAGCTACATCAGGAGATGTGAAAAGTCCTCTCAATTCAGCATTCATGTGCCAGATGGTTGTTTCTTGGTCTTGTTGCGGTTTTTTGTTTTTGTTTTTTTTACCCTACCTGTTAAGATAGCAAAGAATGACATACGTTATCTGGCGCTGTAGCCAAGTGTGTGGTCCAAATTATTTTCACAGAATGCCTGACAAAGTCTGCTTGCCTGCCTGCCTCAATCATTTTTCTCAGCTAATTAGAAAAGTCTGCCAAGCATTGTTGGGCTTAGGCACTAATTATTCTCAAACAAATGTTTCAATTTTGCACAAGCTAGGAAGTGTGTCTATTTTAAATGACTACACGCCAAGATGCCAGAATAGTCAGACCAGCTTCATTTATCAATATGTCTGGAAGTCTCAGAGCACCAAAGAGACAAAACTTAAAGGCACTGTTTTAAAGCAAATGAAAGTCTGCACTCTTAGGTGCTCTTTAAGGAGGTAATGCTATAACTCTTTTCTTGTATATATTAGTTTTAATGGGATATGGAAGACCTATTTTCCCACTGGAAATGCTATTTCTTGTGATATTTGTAGTTGTATTCATCCTTGGATTCTCTTGTTTCTGGCATTGAATTAAAGGAAGTTTTGTTGTTAGTCACATGAGGCTGACCTTTCTAATCCTATCTCAGGTTTTATAGCCTGCCCATCATGACCCTGTTTGAGCATTAAAGATTGTCTTTGGCAAAAACATTGGTAAATCTTTCCTCATAAAACTTGCAGTTTAATTTGACAATCTGAAGAAACTTGAATAGTTTAGAGCAAGGTTATGGTTTGTTTTGCAAGCAATGGCACTATACCTGATCTCAAACTCCACCCTTCGCTACTGAGAAGTAGCTGTGAGCTTCCAGAATGGTGTCAGCTCAAGTCTGATCCTGAAACGTTCAGGTTATATTTATCTATGATAAGATTCTCATTCTGGTAATTCAGTGTATTACTAATATGCTGTGTGTCTCTTATTGGTGTAATCACTGGTATGTTATACTTCTGCCATCTGTCTTTCGTACTGTTTGCCCCATTCCAAAAGTTGCTCTGCAAGAAGCAGATTGCCCTGTTTAAGAGGCCCTTTGGCTTCTGCATGAGCTGCCCATGTATAATCAACAAAAATCTTGGTTTCCAAGAACTGTCTTCCTCTGTTCCTTGAAAGCTGGGAGCTGTATGTTTTCAGAGAAAAAAATCTTTGTGGTTATATTCAGAAGATGACAAGAGAAATTCAGCATCTTATTTCACAGGG